TGCCAATGTGTTTAAAAGGACTTATTGATTTACCGTTCATATTAATCCTCTTGTTATGAAGAGTTAGTGAGGACAATCTCTGAACGAGTAGTTTATCAAATTCTCTTAACCGAATGATCACTTGCTCGATAATTGTATTTTGAGCTATAACGGATATTCCCGATTCCCTAGCTTCTTCATTGAGGTTTATTTCATGTTTTAAGTAAATTTATATTTATGCATTTTATTTTATTTCTTAGTTGATAATTCATTCCCCTCATCTTTGTTAGAATGTTTAGGATTTATTTTCTTTTTGTGTGCTATCAACACTAATTCTAAGTTCCGAACCGCCTTCCTAGAGAGATTGACTCGGAGATCGAATCTTTAGATTTTGTACTCGGTAAAAATAATTTGCTACAACAAAATTGGCGTCGTTGCCGGGGAAGGCAAGTAGGATATTTAGTTTTGGTGTTTGATCTTATTTTCTGTGTTTCTCTTTATTTTAGCATTTTTAGTGTTTTTGTTCCTTTTGTGCATTTGTGTTTTTCTCTTATATTCTTGTTTTAGTTTTTATCTTCTTTTCTCCTCCCTTTTTCTTGGCTACGCGTGGTTGTTTTGTTTTGGTGTGCAGGTACAATGAATTTCAATCACAAATATTTCTCCCTGCACGACCCCTCTTGGAACAACGAGCCAGTCTATTTCCCCGGGTACCACTCCCAACCGTACCCTTATTCTTCCGAGCAGTGCTGGAACCATCTTCCGGTCGAGCAAAATTATGAGGCCCTCAAGTTCAACGAGAAGCTCGACCGAATTACTGAGTTCATAGATTCCCAAGCAGCTCGAGAAAGAGAGGCCTCCTACCATGCGAAGCTCGACCAGATCCTGGTTTTTATAAAATCCATAGAAGAAGAGGCAGCCTACAATGCAAAGCTCGATCAGATTCTCGATACTTTGGCATCCCAGGCTGCCCGTAAGAGAGATCTGGAGTTCCAAGTTGAGAGCTTAATAGAGCGCGCACATGCCATAGAGGATCGAATTGACAATCCTTCTCATGAGTTCACCATGGAACACATATCTACTCAAAAGGGTGAACTCCGAGATAACAGTGGCGTACGATGCAAAACTCGACCTCATTCTTGCTCGCATGGTGGTCAAGCAACCGAGATGAACAGATTGAGCTCGGGTGTGCTCAGCTGAGTGCACGAATGGAGAGCCTCACTTTACATCTCGATTCTACTGAGACACAAGCCGACGACCCGCACTCCATGCTTGACCCCCAGGCTCAGATTCTGCAGCGAATGTGCGAGGCCGAAGAGGATGACATGCCCCTACGAGCCCGATATGATTCATTAGAGGAGGAGGACAATTCACAAGCCCCTCAGCACACATTCGAGTTGGATCATCCACCTCCGAGTCCATCGCACTGCTTTACGAAGGGGATAGTACTTTACTCGGCTTGCTCCATTGACGTATCGTTGGTTTGCGGGGTTGACAAGAGATCTCGGCTGGGGAAGGTTCTATTCCAAACATTGGGGAATGCTCGTGATCAGACAAATTGCACCCAGAACATAGCCACTCGCGTCCACAGTGCCCGCCTTCTGGCCTTAGTGCCAGCACTACAACTTCTCGAAAATACAAAGGCGTGGCACGATCGTCACTTTTTCCTTGATCCTGGATGAGTTCACTTCAGGTTTCGTCAAGCTAATGACGTAAACCGAGCGCTTCTTGGGAGGCAACCCAAGTGATTTATCGCTTTCTTAGATACTTTTATTTTGACTATTTCTTTTATCTTTGAATAATGGGAGGTTTGGAGTTTTTGTTGTTTCTCTGGGCAGGATATATCTATCGGGGATTAGAGCATGGGCGAAGGACTTGCACGTGAATGCTATGTCTCCTCGAGGAACTTTCGGTTTGCACACCCTTTTCTTTTTTTCTATCTTTGATTTTTTTTTTTCCTCTGTTCATTGAGTCTGTGATTTTGAGTTGGTTGACGTTGTGGATAAAATTTCTTCACATTGACGATCGCCAATGGGGATATTGTTCGGTTCTAAGTGTGGGGGAGTTTTTGCATGCTTATGTGTCTACATGGTTGGCCGTGTCTAGTTTTTCTTTAGGATGTCTTGTTGTTGATTGAGTTTGGATTTTGGTGTAAGATAAGATTGGTTGATGACTGCTTGATGAGATTGAGAAGTTGTGATGATGGTCATTGATTATATGTTTTGATGAAATGCTTGGTTGATGTGTTTGACGACAGTGCACCAAGTGAGGTTTTGAGCCTTTTTCTTATTCTTGAGAGTTGGTCGAATTCTTGTATAACTGAAACTTGCCTTGACTCTATTTTGAAATAAATTGATTAAAGTCTTGAGCTGTAGAAATGATTGAGGCATCTTCATGTTTAGCTCGTTTTACCCTGTTCTTGTCCTTGATATATATATCTCCGCTAGTAGCCGTTTGAGCCTTGGACTGATTTTCTTGTTTATCCTATTGATTTGTTGCCTACGGCCTGTTATGCGATTCATAAGTATGAAGGAGTTATTTATTTTATGACTGAATGGAGATTGTAGCATACTACTTGATCGAAAAAAAATGGAGCTCGCAAGACGAACTAAGAGGATTCTACTCCTCTTACTTGTTCATGATGGACGAGTAATGAGTAATGGAAACTACTCTTGGACACTTGGATAACCTCCAAAGTCTAAGCCAAGAGAACGTTGTCCTTAAAGTTTGACCTTGTCTGGAAAAACAAACTCCAAATAAAAAAAAAAGAGAAAAAAAAGAAAAGAAAAAAAGAGAAAAAAAATAAAATTAAATTAAACGATCAAGTGTGTGTAGTGCACTATGATTTGAGCTTGTGCGTGTGGTGTATGGAGACTTTTGGTGAAGGAAGTAGTTATATGTTGATTATGTTGAGTGGCATGACTCTTTCAGATTATTTATTGTAGTCGTTTGACAATTTTAGATTCCTCTTGTTACCTTGAGCCTACACTACAGCCCGTCAAGTCCTTTTGATCTATTAGTTCATTATTTGGATTATTTTATAATAGGAATTAGACAATAGGCAAGGCTCAGTGAAACTTGAATTTCGACCAAGTGGAGCGTACCTCGTTATATTCATGAAAGAAATTTAGTGAGGCTCATCCCTATATTCCATTGTCGAGAGATTTGTCGTTCAAATTGCTTTAACTGAGTATGTAGTTGAAGCATGTGGTTTGTGGCCGTTTGAATGCTTTTCGATTTAATTGAGTAGTTTGAGACCTATCTTGTTTGTCATGGCTATCCATGCTTGACCTTTGTGTCTTTTATTTTCTCTTTGTTCGGGTCGAACAAAGGTTTAAGTGTGGGGGAGTTGTTTGTCCCATTTTTGTTGCATTTTTCGTTATTATTCTCTCATTCTTTTTATCCCATTTGTGTCATTTAGTTGGTTTTAAGTTCATTTTGTCGTTTATTGTGTGTTTTTTGTTGTCTTGAGTGCCCCGGTAATTTTTATGTTTTTCCGGTAGTCTTCTGTTTGTGTTTTCGTTTTTGGTGTGTAGGTCGGGAGCTTTGGGAGAACAGGTTTCTGGGAATTTTTTAGGGAAGTTTACATCATTAGATAGAGAGGTTCGTTTGCTACGCGTAGGAAAAAACGAAACTCAATTCCGAGTTCGAACGAGCTCAAACGAAACAAAACCGTGAAGACGCGCAGTGCAGCCGCGAGTCGCGATCCGCGGCCAGCCCTAAAACCAGTGTTTTAAAACGCGCATCGCACGTTGCATCGCGTTTTGGTCCTTATATTGCGTAGCGTAAATAGCGTAGCGCATTGCGTAAGTTATTCGAACAGTTCACTTTTAATACCAAAAGTAATAATATATATAACCAAACTCGCCTAAAGCCCTCTACTAAAATATTTAAAGTTCAGAAAATTAATTCTAGATCGGTTTGATTCCCTTTACCTTAAATAAAATAATTTCTTTATTTTATATAAATAAATTAAACCCACATTTCCCTAAATTATTTTAAAAAAAAATGGTCACTATCCTACTCATTCACACCACACAACGACACATATACACACATTTTCCTTTTTCCCTTGTTTTTTTATTCTATCTCTCATTTCTTCTTTCCTTATCTTTTCTCTTTCTTCTTCCTTTTTACTTCGCACAGACAACTACTTTTTTCCCCTCTCTCTTAAATTTTCTTCATCTTTATTCTTCTTCTTATTTTCTTTCTTCTTCTTCTTCTTCTTATTTATTTCATTCCCAGACAATACTTTTTTTATCTTTCCCTTATATTTTCTTCTATTCTCAAACTCACAAACACAAATTTCTCAATACTCCCCAATTAAATCAATTAGCCCCAAAATCAAATAATGAAAAACACGATCTAACTGCTAGTTTCAATCGGTCAAAGGCCGACGACCGGCGGACCGGCGACTTAGGTGTGTCGCACTGGACAGGGGCCCGCGATGGTGTGGTTCAGTCATGTCTGGAGCTGCCTTCGATTTTTTTTTATTATGTGCCTATAAAATTGAAAAATAAGGGCCAAATATCGTGCGCAACACACGCTATTGCGTAAATAGCGTACAAAACTGCGAGAAAAGCGTGCCACGTCAACAAAAGCGTGCGCATTTTAGGAACTACGCGATTTTTTAAACGCAACAGCGCGTTTTTGGCCAAGAGTGAGCTATTGCGCGCTATGTAGCGCGCAAAATCACACTTTTTAAAACACTGCGTAAAACACGCCCAGCACCTCATTTTTCAGCCAGTTTCGGATTTTGGGGTTTTTCCGCTTTTTTCTTCATCTTTTTCACCTCTTTTCTCATCTTCTACATAATTTTCACCATAGAACTCAATTTTCAGCTGAGATTTAGCATTGGATTTGGATGCAACCCTGTAATTCAGATTTGACTCTTGATTTCTATTAATTCATAAGCTTTTATTTTCAATTATTTTTGCATATGAATGCTTGGGATTTTGAAATTGTTTGTTTAAATTTGACTATGAGTAGCTAAATCTTCATGCTAAGGATAGGGGATTAATGTTTTGATCTCAATTACGATTATTGTTCTTGTTGATTATTGATCTTGACTAGGGTTTTTTGTGAAATTGTTTTGGAATTTTGAAAATCACTGAAGTAGTGACACTTCAATTTACAATTGTTCATCGATTGAGTTGGATTTGCTCTTGAATGATTTCATGGAATCTATTGCTTGATTGATTAAAAACCATTAAGCTATTTAATCGACTTTTGGAATCGAAAGAGGAGGAGTCGATAGACCTAGGCCACATGAAATTGACTTGTTCGTAATGGTATTGCCAATGTGTTTAAAAGGACTTATTGATTTACCGTTCATATTAATCCTCTTGTTACGAAGAGTTAGTGAGGACAATCTCTGAATGAGTAGTTTATAAAATTCTCTTAATCGAATGATCACTTGCTCGATAATCGTATTTTGAGCCATAACGGATATCCCCGATTCCCTAGCTTCTTCATTGAGGTTTATTTCATGTTTTAGGTAAATTTATATTTTATGCATTTTATTTTATTTCTTGGTTGATAATTCATTTCCCTCATCTTTGTTAGAATGTTTAGGATTTTTTCTCTTTTTGTGTGCTATCAACACTAATTCTAAGTTCTGAACCGCCTTCCTCGAGAGATTGACCCGGGGATCGAATCTTTAGATTTGGTACTCGATAAAAATAATTTGCTACAACATCTGTCATAAAAGAAAATCAGCTTACTGGTTGAGAATTGCATAAATATTTAAATATTTAAAAATCCTCATTTAAATTATAGTAAGTTTGAGAAGGGATTTTCAATAAAGTTAATTTTAAAATTCCTAAGGCCTCTATTTCTAATTTGTTGGTAAATCAATTAATTAAAGTATGGGCTTTCCCACGGATGACATCACTAAAATTAATTGTAGAAAATTACCAGAACAAATTTTTAAATTTAGAGGGTTAGAGGAAATATTAAGATTGCGTA